GGGGGGGGAACTAACTTGGACCACATTTCATTCATCCCATCCCTCCACTCTCTTCTGCCACTTTCACCTCCCTCAAGTTCAGATCACGGCAAAGCCCCGAGACAGGGCTAGTTTACAACGACTATTTTAAAGATAAAAAAGCGGGAAGAAGGGAATAAAAGCCCGTACGGGCAAGTATACTATTTGCTATCTTTCCCCGTTGCTGGGGCTGGGCAGCCGCGCATCCCGCGGAGGGCAGCCCCGGGGAGCAGCGCCCGGCGAGGCGGGGCGGGGCGGGGGGGGCGGCTGCGGGTCGGTTCGGAGTGCTGGCATTTGCACGAGGTGCCCGAAGACGGGAGGGGTGTCCTCCCCACCCAGGGTCGAGAAGATGCCAGCAGCGCCCGGGGCGGCAGAAGTGAGACCCCTGCAGCGCTCCGCACTGCCGCGGGACCGCCGGGATGCAGCCGCGACACCCGTGGGTGGGGATGGATGGATGGGTGGAGGGCGATCCCTGGCCCCGCAGGGATCAAGACAGCCCCACGCCTTCCTGGGCTTCTGCCAGGAGCCCTGGACACCAAGGAGAAAGGGAAGGAAGCAAGGGGAGGGGGAAGGAAGGAGGAAGAAGAAGGAGGTCCTTCAATGACACTCATTACTCTGCCACCAGAATGGTCTCCTCCAGCCGCTGTCATGCCCACAACACCCCTTCAGTCAGGGTGCCCATGAAAAGGCCAGCTGCAGAGTGGTACACACACACCATGCTGGCACCAATGGTGCCTGCACGGGACAGTGAAGAAATTAGTGCCCTCTATTTCCATCACACATTCCCTCCCCTCACAGTCCCTACTCAGTCTTCTTGTCCTCTTGGTGCACCCCAAAACTCCCTTCGGCTCCCAGGACTGGATATCCCTCACTGGGAACAGAATGGGGTCTTTTCTCCTCACATTGGGATGCAGGCAATGGAATGCAGAGCAGAAATGTCCTACATGTGCCCACACTGCAAGCAGGGGAGAGATCAGACAGCCTCACTATGTTTAGGGTTATTGTTTCTCCAATTAAGTCTGAAGCTCCCAATCTATGATAGCAAAGCCAATAACATGAAGTGCTGCTCAGAATGATGTCTTCAGAAATGCAAGAGGTGCTGTTCCTAAGCTGTTGTAGGTGCCCACTGCCTGCTGGCATTATTTGAAGCTGATCATCCTGATGAGAATGAGGAGTGATAAATGCTTATGCTACCTTCTTGGGCCTCTGTAGTTTAAAGTCTGGCTCCATGTAGCTTTGTGTCTTATGTTTAGAATTTTATTCCTACTTCTTCTAGTGCTGTTAATGTTATTAAAGCTGTGCTATCAAGCACACATACCAGTTTAGAATTTTCTGAAGTGAAGCTTGCTGAAGGTAAAAAGCCTTGTCTCTGTGTGAGAAATGCCTGCAAAAGCCTAGAATTTATGGCAGACCGTCATGCTGGGAAGACCTGTTGTAGTCTTCCTGATAAGTATTTTAATTCCTGACTTGCTTTTGCAGTAGTCCCTAATACATAGTAGAGTTTTTGCAGGTCTGGTACTCTATGGGATGCCACTGGAAATGCTGCATGTTAACTCTGCATGTTCTGTCCTGTGTAAAAATGCAGCTCAGTCAGCAGTGCACATATCACTGCAAATCTGACCATCACTGACAGACTTGCCTCCAGATTTGTCACCAAGAGGTCTATGCTTGTATAACACAGAATTAAACACTTGTAAGTGAAGGAGAAACCAGTGGCAGTGGATGTGCAAGGGCTGCCTGGTCACATCGCTAGTGTTGTTGTGTGAGAGCACAGGTTGGGGAACAAAATCACTTCCACCCTCTTCAATCATCAGCACTTGGGTCCCCAGTAAAGAATCTGTGTTTTACTTTGAACTACTGAGAGAAGGTCCCCCAGGTCTGTGGTACTTGGTGGGAGTTCAGGGAAGGGCTATGGTCTCTTGCCCACGAGATGCCCAAGAAGGAGCTCACCCTGCAGAGGCTGCCTGTCCCTGCCTGCCCTGAGGCAGTGCCGTCCGTGCCTCAACCTCGACACTCGACACTCGACACTCGAGTAGCTTCTGGGGTACATATGAAAGCATACCTCCTCATTTGAAAGCATTCATGCACTTTCAACATCATGACTTCACTCAGAGACCACTTAAAATATGTAGTAGGTAGAGACATCTATTGCTTTCTTTATAATCAGTTTTGAAAAAAAACAGCTCCTCCTGAAAGAAAAGGCCAGTTCTGTGCTGATGGCAAAATCTCTATTGAGGCAGTTCTAAGGTTTTGCAAAGAGTTACAAAATCCAGAGACAAACTGGGTTAACTGACTTCACTATATGGATTAATTGGTGTCTAATATTTTGTTGAATTTTAAGGATATGCCTTAATTTACAGAAAAAGGCACATAGTAAGTTCAGTAATAAAAGGTTACTATGTCTCTACATTGTTGCTATATTAGGCAATTCTTTGTTCAATATTTAACTAGCATTTGTTAAAGTGGGTGTGTGAGAGCAATATGTACAGTGCATATTTACTGTCAAAGCCTAAGGAAGTAAGTGTGACTTTGAGCCTAGATTTTCCTAAAGCGTACACACTCCCAAATATAGGCAGACAGAGAAAACTGGAAGGTTGTCCCATTTCACATAGAGAAGAGACGTAAAGACCTGTGCTTGGTTCCTGGCCTTGCTCCCTCATCACTGACATCAGTTTGTGTCAAGCTTACCAAAAAACCCTGCTGCTGCAACACTCCATTTGAGAGCCAGGGGGGAAAGGATAATAAACTTTTTTTAATTGCTTCCCTGGCTATAAATTAGCATGCGTTGGGCTAATTTTTTTTCCTGTGAACAAAAGCACAATTGACAGCAAGGTTTAGGGAAAGTAGGAAGGGAGCTCTGAGCCTCAAGGCTCCCCTGCGTATTGAATCTGAGCGGGAGGAGGCCTTTTCTGTGCCCAGAAGTAGAAGGACACCAAAAACTATAACAAAACAATACAGATTTTTATCTTTCACTGACTGTTTTTGCAGCTGCATCTTCCCCTCCGTCTTCCCCTCCCCCCATTATTTTATGTGAGAACCAAGTATGAAAAGAGAAGCCACGGCTTTCCCTCCTGATCCAGTCAATGTGCATAAAACCAGGGAAGAAATCAGCAGAGATCTGAGGTTAGTTATAAGTACTGTTACGGACAAAAGTAGAAATTGGTTTTTTGCTTCTACACCATATTTCATGTCAGTTGTCCCAGAAGTAAACACAGGGTTGAAGTCCACCAACTGCACTGTGGGTTCAGTGTGCTGTGCTCCTCTTTGCATCCCTGAGGCTCCTGATGGCATTTGAAGAGGAGCTGGCAGAACCCACTCAGTTCTGCCTTTGCAGCTCCCCTTCCATGCATGCTTCCATTCAGTTCTAGAACACCTGATAAACCATTTCTCCCCATGGTAAAAAATCATCTAAAGTGACCTTTCTCTGGAGCTCTCTGTGGAAGCCCTTATGCTGCTTCTCCTCTGGTGCATACAGTTACCAACCTGAACAAAGAACCAACTACAAGTAAGAAGTAGATGGGCATGGACCATAACTTTCAAAACAAATGTTAACAGAGATGTGACCTAAGAGATGGAGAAATACTGCTGGAGAGTGGCTGAGAAATGGCTGAGGGATGGGGATGGAGAAGATAGATGCGTGACTATTCTCCCATGCTCCACAGTGGATTCATCACTTGCTCTCAGCATCCATAGGCATAAGGATAGGCTGAAATAATGTTTAAATTGCAGCAAAAGAAAGTGTGAACATCTTCACTATTTGTAAAACAAAAAAAAAATAATCTAATTGAAGATTAGATGCACACTGAGATGAGTCACTAAAGGAAAGGGATGAGATTACTTTAAGAGCAGGCTGGGCAAGTATCTGCTACAGGGCCTTCATGAAAGAGTGGACTACGTACACCCTGAGGTCTTTTATAGTCTATGCTATAAAAAATTTTTAATGCTATAAAATGTACAGAGATGCAACAAGAAACAGAGGAGAAAGAGGAATCTTATAAAATTAAAAAGGGAAGAATAGGGAACTTACTCTCCTAACTTTTTTGCCTAAACATCTACATCAATTAACAGTTTCACCCTTTGAAAATATTTTTTAAGAAGTTCTTTCTTTTCTCTTTCTTTCTTTCTCTCTTTCTTTTCTTTCTTTCTTTCTTTATCTATCTGTCTCTCTCTCTCTTTCTCTCTCTCCAAGGAAGACCTACAACACTATTATTTACAGAGATAAAGAAGTCTCTGTATTTTTGCATGGACCCTCCCTGATTTCTTCAATGTTCTTCTTAACTCAGTGCACCTTTGCCTCAGGGAGCAGATTGTGGTGGGCTGGAAAACCCAGGACACAGCCTTCTGAAGAGGCAGGTACTCTGCCTCATCCGCTATGTACTCACTTGCGGAGCCCCTTTCACTTAAGATACCTTCCCTTACCGTTTATAAGGAGCTGTGTGTGAAGGCCCCTCTCCCATGACTGTGTCAAGCCTCCCTCCAACCAGAAATCTCAGTAGATGCCGAAGGTGTGACTGGTCAACTGTGACTGCCAGGCTGAGTTTCCTGACAGGTACTGATTTCATGTCGTGTATCAGTGACACAGCAGTGAATCCAGAGCATCAACTCTTTCAAGTTAAAGCACACTCCTCCTACTGCCATTCAGGTTCTGACAATGTTTATATTCTTTAAAATGTGAGGGAGTTTAGTTTGCATCTTATTTTAAAATAAATTTATCCCAAAGGCAATGTCATTTCCAAGCGCCAAATCATTCTTTTCTTCTTGTATTATAGAATGGAGCATTTCCAAAAGTCATTACAACTCTCATATCTGAATCAATTTTAGACTAATGTCCTGTTATCCAAGGTTGTCAGTTATTTTTTTGGAATTATTTTGGGTGATTTTTAAATTGGTGTGTTCTTTGCTGTTACTGTTAGAATTATATGAAACATCTTGTTTGCAGAGCTGTGAAATGCTTTAAAGGCAGCAATTGAAATGACGAGGCATTGTCCAAACTGAAATTTATTTAATTCAAAACAGTGTCCTGAACATCCAGGTGGTATTAAACGTTTTTCAACCGCATACAAACTGTGAACTGTATTTGAAATTAAATCTCCACATTAAAATCTGCATTGCCGAGCCTCCTGCTGGCAGCCACCGTTCTTCTGAAAAGTGACATCATCTCTGGCACTGGTGGGGTTGGAGTTCTTGCACGGATGTCACCAAATGATTTTCTACCGCTCTTCAGATATTGAGACTTTATAGCCACGTACGCCTAAAAAGTACAAAGGATGCAAGGTGTGCGAGGGGACAACCTCAGATTTAGTAAGTATAGATGGTTTTGTCCTGACACACAAGGGTGGAAGCCATTTTATAAACCTCTATTAAAGTAGCATATTGCTGATGTCACAAATTATGTCATTTTTCAGCAAGCTGTTAGGTAGCAGCAGGATACTTAGAGGTCCCAATCTGAGTTCACAGCTTGAGGCCCCATCATCCATTGAAGTCAAGGAAATACTCCAGTCCCCTGGCCTTCTGTTTACAAATAATATATCAAAATCAGGATGCCCACAACTGAACTTTCAGGCACTGAGCTAAAGGAAATATATTCGTATGTGTGTATTTCTATACATATATATATGCATACAAAATATTAATTTATTTGTATATGTGCATGTGTGTATTTGTGAGTAACGCAACTGAAGTCTGCAGTTTGACATTAGACTTTCTATAAACAAACGTTTTTCATTATTCCTTGATATATAGAGCTGATCCTTCATGACCAATTTCACATACAGAACCCCCACCAAAGTTAGAGATATCCACGTCAAAAAGGGGTACAAAGTACTCCCATTTATTTTTCCTTTTAAAAATAATGAGGGTATAAAAGAGATCTGATTTAATAAAATGTACATAGGAAGAGATTTATCTATAATGGAGTTGAGAGGACTGTGCAAAATAAAATAACACAAATGTCTATACACATACTCGTTAGTACAGCAGAACAGCTTGTTGGAGGCTCTCCTCATCTCCTGGACAAACCATATTTACTCAAATATGTGTTTTTCCCCCGATTAGAGTTGAATATGCCATTGTATGTACTTGGGAGACAACAGCCTATATTAAAAGACATAAAATACATACTATGTGGCCTGAGGTTGTGAAACAGCTGAAGAGAAGGAATTAAATTCAAAGCTAGCAGTGCCAAACTCATCAGTGGGTGCTTTTACCCCCCCTCCCCACGTATTAGTGGGAGACAAAGATGGAGTGTCAAGGCACAGCTTTGAATTTCCTGACTTTTGCCAGCATGTTAACATCACTCCCCTAGCAAAATGAGGGTCCTGGCAGGGAGATGGATTAGATGGCCAAACATGACATTTTTATCCCCACAGTCTCTCCCTCCACCAATTCCAGTACTTTGCTACTTATTTACTGACTTAGTTGGCTGTAACTTGCTCTACTGGAAATATTACAGGGTTGGATTAGCTTTTCCTCTATAGTATATCCCTGATTTAATTACCACTGCAGCTATTCCCCACTATCTGCACCATAAATGCTGTTGCTTACAGAAACATGATTACAGGATTAGAGTTATTGGGCCCTCGCCCAAATGAACACAGTGACACAGCATAGCACTGGCACCTCTGAAAGCTACACTGACCTCAGGCATCTCTACATCAAAGGCCATGGCCACAATCTGAGCTTCATTAGCTTTCAAGGCTGAAGCTACAGGAGTACTACTTCCTCAGCCACTAATGGGAAACACTCTCCTCCATTTGCTGTTGAGGTGTTAAAAGTTCCTCTTAACATCAGTTACTGGGCTACAGCTTCACTGGTATCCCAGTAAAATAAAAATGAGTTGTGGAGTGGGAGCTGAGTTCAAATTGAAAAGCTATGTTGGACGTCCCTTACTCAAGCAAAAGGCAGTCACGAGAGCAGGAATACTTTGTGAGGAAGGACTACAGGGGGAGGTGCAGCCCAAATCCCAGACTGGGAGCCATAGGGAAATTCCCACAGCTCCTGAAGGGTTTCATATGGTTGTAACCAACTGTTTAATGACTGAGGTATCTGAAGGATGCTCTGGTTTTCATTTGTAGGATGTGATGCAGTTGATTATGCAAACAGGGAGAGCCTGGCAGCTAGAGTTAGCTGCAACTCAGAGCACAAGCATCATTGGGTCCACATTCACCACGAGAAATCTATGAACTGTGGTGATAACCCCTCTAGCCCCCCTGCCCGATCTGCACCTACAAAGAGCAAACCTGGAAGGTAACATTTAATTCCACAGAGAGAAAAACTAGTCAGAGAGAGAACCACAAGGTGACAAAGCACTGGGTAGGACCAAACTGAATTTTTGCTCCTAGCATACACTTTCTACGTGGAAATGTTTCTTAAATTTTGCTGTACATTGGTTCCTCTTTGCACAGCTGGAACATTAGTATTTCCTGTCTTGTTTATATAGATGATGCATTCTGGGACATAAGTCACCTCTTATCGTGTTTGCATAGTTCTAGCAAAGTCATTTGGGGCTTGCAGTCATTACCCTAATTGAAGAAACCAGATAAGTGTCTAGATGATGTGAAAGAAGCCCCAAAGTTTCATGACTCTCTATCCAGAAGGGGGAAGAAATACTTGTTCCACGAAAATACTTGAGGGTGGTAGGACATAGTCCACCACAGCAGTGAGCACAGAAAAGCAGAAACCGGTTTTGTATGAGAATAAAAAGGTTGAAATAATTTGTATTAAAAGACCTCAATAAGAATTTAAAAAAAAAAAAAAAAGTTAAAAAAAATAGGAAAATAGAAGCTAGAGGATTTACACCCAAGGGTTTGCTTTTCTTTCTTCAGTCCAACTAGCCTTCTCTGGTGCTTTGCCTATGATATTGTAGTTTCTACTTTTTGACCTGGTGCTGAATAAAGTGACTTGCCCATGAGCCTCCCAGCTGGGTCAGCTGGATAAGGTGGGCTGGTCAGGTGCTGCCAGAGCTAAGGACTACAAAATTACCCAACTAGCCTCTGGAACTAAGCTGCTCCTTCTCTTCAGGAGGTAGGAGACTTACCCAGGTCTGAGGAGCTCCTTGTGGCTGGAAGATTTTGCAGAAGATATTAGCAGGCTCACGTGCTGGCTCCAGAGTTTTCTTCAGCTTGCATGTTTGATAAAGCTCACAGGCTTGCTTCAGCTGGCAAGTTTAACTTAATCTCTTGGGTTTGTTCTGCCCTAAGCATTCTGTTCATGTTATCGGAGATCATTTCAGTTTCCCAAGCTTTGGGCTGGTTTAGAAACTGAGCCACAATTAAAAACTAGAGTAAGAAGAATTCAGTTGATTTTCAGCTAAGCACCTTTTCACCACAGAGATTTACAATACAGCATTTATTTCCTGGGAAGTTGTCACTGGATTTCCTTTTAAATTAAATTACCAGCAATCAAAGAAATAGGAAATTCCTCCTTATGTGTACATTTTTCATGAACTACTGATTCTTTCCAGGCTTTCCCTTTGGAGGCTGGTGACCCCCAGCTCAAGCACTGCAACAGCTCTCTGACCAGCGATGGTTTAAGTATTGCAGCAGCAGCTACTCCTGTTACAGCAGAAATCCAAGCCCTTTGCTTTGCACATTCAGGGTGTATGCGATTTAATTAGAAGCACTCCCACCCTTTACTGAGTCGGGGTAGTGTGTAGGCATAGGTTGACCCAGGGAGAGTCAAGAGGGCTTTTCTCCCTGTCAGCACCAGAAGCTGCAGCCCTATCATTACACATGACACAGATATAGCTCTACAGTTGTTTTCATTTTCATTACCTTAATTATTGTCATTCATCATTTTTATAATTTTCATCATTTTCTCACTTTTGGACAGGGCAGCACATGAAGCATGGTAGGGTAAGTGGACACAAAGGATGACAGCGGTAATGTGGTGCAGGTGAGAGTATGGCTCTTTAGAGCTGGCATGTTTTTCAGAGGTGATGTACACCAGTCTTTGGTGTGACTCCCCTTTGTCACTAATGATTATTGCTGTAATGATTTGAATGTGCTCAAAGCTCTGTGGAAGGGTCTAATCCAAAGCCTAAAAAGGTTGACAGGAATTTTGTATTGAGGGGAAGCCCAGATAATACTATGTTTAAAAGATCCAGAATTAAGGTTTCTAAGATTATCTTTATATAAGAAAATAAAATGGGGGAAGAAAACAGTTTCTCTCTTCCTCTGACTTGACAGCATGCTTTGATGGAAAACAGGGGGGTGATCTCAGGAACACTTGCTCCAGCCTCCTGTTCATAAGTAGCAGGAAGGCCTGTCAAACCTGTCAAACTCCTTGAGCTCCTGGGGTTTACAGACTTCTTTCAGCTACCCCAAGCAAAACCACAATCCCATAAAGAAGCCTTTTTAGCAAAACCTTCTGCCATTTGCCTGAAGCCAACAAATCACTCATTTAAAAAAACGCAGCTATTTCTCATTCGGAAACATCCCTTCCTCCTGTGCTCGCTCTCTCCTGGTGAAGCCCCGAGCAATGGCCTTGCAGCACCAGTTTTTTGCAGAAACCTGCCACCACGGAGCCCAAAATCTGTAGTCTGTACAGGGACCAAAGTCTCGCTGGTCCAAGGAGAGCCTGGCTTGAGTAAGGACTGCAGAAATGACCACCTGGCTTCTGTCAGAGTGCAAGGATGTCTTGCATCCATTCCTGTCCCTTGTCTCTTGGTGGATTTCTCTGAGCTTCTTGGCTCCAAATACCTGCCAAGATGCATGTCCCACACTGTTTGCTGAGAGGTTTAGAAGAGATGTCCATGCTGTCTGGTCTTTGCCATCCTTTCATTCCATATATTGCCCCATCCTTTCCCTGAAAGGTGCTGTGAAAACAAAAGCTCTTAGATCATTGACACCAGTCCCAGCCTTTGTCCTCATGCTACACCCACTGGCTGCCAGTCTCCAAACTCACCTCTGTCCCTGCCCTGCCAGCATATGGATGATGGAAAGCTTCAGTGCCACAGATCAAAGACTCCAGTCGGCCACAGAACAAATCTTTGCAATTCTCAGTACTACGGCTCTGTTATGGTGTCTAATGCAGTGATAGAAAAAAGCAGTCCCAAAAGAAGAGGGAAGGCATGAAGCAACAGTCACTTTTGGAGGCATTATTGCATTTAATTGAATGAAGTTGTAAGGGCACATTCTGCCCTGAGTGATCATGGCTATTTTTCATCATCATTTTGGTCTTGTCCCAACTGGCATACATCTTTGGCAACTCTTGGACTAGCTGTATGTCAAATCACGTTCTTTGATGTATAGGTGGCAGATAGAGGACAAGACACCATAATTTTTTCATGGACTTGCTGAAAGTAACAGAATCACACTCAAAGTCCATCATGGCAGAACCGTAACACCACCAAAATAAATAAAACAGTGATTCTGTGGCAACTTGAAGCTGCAATTTATTCACAATATGGGAGACACCCTCTGGCAAGAGTTAAGCAGTCATCAGTACATGTATCATAAGGGCAGAGGTATGGTAGAAGCAAATCTGTTGACAACACAGTAAACAATGATATCATAAAAACTGAAGCAAAACTTAAAACATACCCTGAAATACAGGTTTTGGAAGCTGGCACTTAGCCTATGCTAGGAGCTGAAATCTTGTTTCATTTTACATCTGTTCTAACTTAGCACGCAAAAATCCACCTATGACCACCTGATTCAATACTTGAAAAACGCAAACCATATTTAAGGTCTAGTTTTTAAAGGTATTCATGTGAAACAGAGAGGGGGTGGTTTTTTCTATAACCTTAGAAACAGCTAAAAACTATTCAGCAGAGGCTGCAATGCTCATACTACGTGACGAAGGAACAGTATATGGACAGTTTTATACTTGTTGTTCTCCAGAGTGCAAAATATGAAATCAAAAGGGAGATCGATTTGAAAAGGAGAGAGAACCAATCTAACATACTTCCTTAGGATCTAGAGTTACTGTCTCCCTTAATAGACATAAGCAGATATATGATGGAAAACATGAACTAATCTCCAGTTCATTACCCAAGTTCTCATGGCAAAGGGACTTCTCCATGGCAAAGGGACACACATGTTTCAAGATAATATCCATCCACAACAACAGACTTTTCCAGAAGCAGTGCATAGCCCTATATATTAACAAGCACATACAACTACTATACTTGTTCATTTTATAAATGTATTTATATGAAAGAATATGAATGTAACAAGAACAACTGACAGAAATATTTAAGATGAACTGACAAGAGAAACCTGCTCGTCTTGAAACTCTTTTCCCTAATGCTTCATGTTTTCCTTAAGAACCATTGTAGTTCAGGATGGATAATGGCCACCAAGCCAGGAATCCTATCTCTAAGGGTGCGTGTGCTGGGTGCCTAACAAAAAGGATAATGGTATGCACTGACACCTCCAGTACACTTCTACAACCCACTCACCTCCTCCATCTGTAAAGGACAGCAAGATACACCAGCTCATCACACTGTCTCATACCTTGCAACAACAGCTGTCTGTATTTTGTACAGGCCAAAGTCCTTATCAAAAGTTCACGCAATGAGCAATTAGGACAAATGATCCATTTATCCGAAACTTGAGCAACTAAGAGTAGTCACTCAGATACAATCATGTGGAAGTCTGTGCTTTGGGTGTTACATCACATTTTTTAGTAATAGCAAGGCTTGAAAAGGTACAGGGAAAAGTCAGAAAAGGGTTCATAGTTCTGATAAAACAAGCAGTGTCCTCAAAATCGTATTTACAAGAAAAAAGTACCCAGTACTTTGCCTCAGGTTCATGCACGATGCACTAAAACCAAGGGTTGATGCACGAGGGGGTTAGAGGGAGACAGAACAGATCTTGGGACTGTTCACTTTGTCTCAGAAAGTGTTGACAGGATACACAAAACCCATGCATGCTCGAGGCAGCCATGTTGGCTTCTGCTCCACTGGAAAGAGAAATGTTTGCCACATGGAAGCAGAAAACATTGGCAGGAAAATAACTATAATTTCTAAATTTGACAAGAGTATTGCAAGCAGAAAAAAATAACAGGGGAGAAGAGGGGAATAACATTCACCTAGACTCTGATTTCACCTTTAGGCTCTGACCCTATGATGGATATGTTAGAAAGTACTTAATTTGTGAAAGAGAGCCTAAAGGTAACTTCTGAATGCAACATAGGAGAAAAGCGTGTGTATCCATCACCCGTGGGCTGGGATGAGGATGAACAAGTACTCCTTGGAGGAAGGCAATGCACCTCCCCCATACCAGTTACCAGAGCAGAGACTTGGCTGATGTTATAGATGTATATGGTGTGAATATGTAGTTATATACATACTTACTGGGAAAAGGCAGTGGCAAAAGCCCCAGCTGTAACATGCACTCTGCAAATGTTGATCCTTCTGCATTTCTCCTCATTTATACCTTGTATCAGCTTAGGACTCAGAAGAAAGAAAAAGAAGGCATATTTATTTGTAGCCAGTGCCATCAGAGAGTGACAAAACCTTATGAGACATTTTGTCTCGTCTACAGCCTTCCACACCTGTTGTTATTTGCCTCCTGAGCCTAAGGGAAACCTGCCCTTGGTGGTATGTTCTTTGTTATTCTTTCAATTTCCTTGTCTTTTATTTATTTCCCTTGCCTCTAAAGAGCCGTTCAGGGGTCCCATTACTTCCTGCTGACCAGGGAAGGCTATGAGAACAAATAGTGATATTGGATTAAAATACACATACTATCACAAGAAAAACAGAGGGAAGGGGGCAGGGGACTTGCTTAGCAAAGGGTGGTGGAAGTCACGAGACAGAGAGCTGCCAGAAATATTCAAGTGAGGTTTTATGTCAAGACTTGTTTTAGACATGAACTCTGTGAGGAACAGAGCATCTGAATTCTTACCATGGTGGTGCTACAATTTGAACCCCACTTTGAGTCTGGTGTGTTTTGTCTGGAAAAACCCATCTCACATTAGGTTGAGATGTGGGAGGGGGAATGGAGCTAGGGAATTGGATTTTGGGACTATCTCAAACCATGACAGCAATGTTTTCTTTGGATTTTAAATAAAAGCTTGTTTGAAATAATGCAAATTATAATTCTTGGTAGTGTGGATTCTCCTACCCATAGTGGTGGTGGAGCTGGGAGCTGTTAGAGTAGAAAGAGGAGACATTACACGCAGCCTACTTCCCCTCTGCAGCAAAGGTGCTGCATTGACCATCATCTTCAAGAAAGACAACATAATTGCTAAAACAATGGACATCATTAGCTCCCCATCTCTAGGGCAAGTGAACCCTGTGGTCCATGCTTGAGCCAGGCTACAGCAGATTGTATCTGCTGTATTTGGAAATTTTCCTTTCTATCATCTGTTAAAAAATTATTAGCAGGTGCTGAAGACTGTGACCTCCAACCTGGAGACCTAGAGCCAAAATACCAGAGGGGAAAAAGTCAGTTCTTGACAACTGCCTGACTCCAGGGTTGGATGAGCCAGCGATACAATCTGCTGCTATGGGAGATGCCACATCAGAGGAGGGAAGTGGTAGCACCTCATGCAATTAGTCTTAATTTTATTTTTTTTCTTTTTTGAAGCTACAAGTGGCAAGAGCCAATTCCCTGCTTCTGTGAAATTATAAGCCTGGTGATCCTTTCTGGTGCCATAAAAGAGTTAGACCAGCTTGCAGCTGATCAAAAAAGGTTAGGCTACCTGTGTACCACACAGAATAACAAGCTAAAGTCATTTAACATTTGCTGTGTAAATGGCACACCGCTATGAATGGATATCCCAGTGAACACAGGAAAATAAATTCTTACATGCCATGCAATTATGCACACACTAGTGTAAAAATGAGCTGATATAAAATAAATATGCATATAGCTATGCCTTTGCCTATTTCAGCCCCTGGGTTATAGCATTGCCAATGTGTTGACATAAAAATGCAGTTTTATGGATTATATCTAAGTAGGAATGTGTGAAAAGGGATTTTGTTTTGGCTACAGCCCAGTTTCTTAATATAATTATAATTACTATTTTTACTACTACTGCTACTACTACTACCACAGTGAATTGGAAGCCCCCTTGGTTCTACTTAAGGTACACATAACACGAACAAGCCTGATCTAAAAAACAGGAGAAATGAAAGAGGGACAGATGCAACGTGGTATCTCCAACATGGAGTAACAGGACAGGAGGTGGATGTGGGCTTCAGCTCTCTTAAATTCCAGTCCCTGGTGTGGCCTGGTCCCTCTCTGCCATGACAGGGCTTTCTCAGGGAAAAAAAGAAGGGGGAAGAGTACTTTACTGATGCAATGGGAAGAGTGGCTTTTGGTGTGATCAGTGTGGCGCTGCTCGGCGTTTTACAGAGTTAAGCATCGGTACAGGTTGTACTGTGCGTCCAGGGCTGGTGGCCTTGGTTGCATCTGGACAGTTTCCCCGTGACACTGCAGGCCACTGTGGTGGCAGCTGTGCAGCAGAGGCAGCAGCTTGCTCAGGTCACAGACACACTGCAGAAAGCGTGGAGGCAAGAGCTGAGCAAGTGCTTGTTTTCCCTTGTCTCTTTTCACCTTTATTACGGCCATAGCACGAGTTGTTGCACTATGTTTCAGCCTGAAAATCAGAAATATTTCTCCTGTTCACTCCTTGACAGTGTGTCAATATAGAAGAGTTTTTTAAAAACCTCTCCTAGGACAAAAAAATGCACTTAGAGCGCCGTTTTGGCATTTCCGAGATCTCTTGTCGCT